CCTTTTTTTTTTTTTTTTTTTTAGACAAAGGGGTATGATCTGGACCAATAAAATATTTTCACTTATGATCTTCTACTAGTGAATCAAAAAAGGCAACTGTACAACAATCTTCTTTGCATAACACCATTCATGCTTGCTCTGTCAGCTGAGCAAGCCTCCAGTTGCTTAAACCCAGGAGAATGATATCCATTCACTCACCTCTCTTTTTGCTTTGAGAAGGAACATTTCATCAGTTTGCTGGAAAGAGCATTTTAGGGCCTCAGATGGGTTCTTAAGGAATTCATCATGGAGTGCTATGTTAACATGTAAATGAGTTGCTGCATAATTAGCGGCATCCACTCCACCATGGCCATCAAATACAGCAAAGTATGCACGATCAATGTCATCCTTTTGACAGGGGAGACAGGCAAAATGTTCAGAAATAAAAGTTAATTGCCAGACTTTATTTGATTCAAGCATATAAACGCAAGTCTATATGTGTATGCGAAAGCTAGAGTGTGCAGAGATGTTTGCTCACACTACGCTAAGTTAACACATGTAACTGACTTCCCTTGGGAACAAAAGGGAAGAGAGTGGCATGGCTTAGCAAACAGACTTAAAGAATAGGTATTAGGACTCCCAAGCCCTATTTGGGACTCTTCCACCAACTTGTTGCTGTGTAAGCTCAGACTGTTTGCAATCCTTGTGTAAAATAAACAGAACATATATTTCACAGGAGCATTAGGTTACTTTTCTTTGTTTATTGCTGATGATGTAACACCCCTGAAATAGACTACAAATTGAAAAAGCCAGCTGGGGGTGTTGTTTATTCCTACTGCTTTTTCATTAATTCCCAGGTATCCTCACCAGAATGCTACTTCTCATTTTTGCACCAATTCTGCAAAGGCGGCAACCCCACCTTCTAGTTCCCCTCTCCAGCCGCACACCTTGTGTGGTACTGTACTTCCACCAACTGTCTGCTATGTCAGGGAACTAGTTAACCCAAGTACAGATATATAGCAGATCTTTGCTTCAGCACAAATTTAATAATGAGCAGATGGCAATGAATCTTTCATAGCACTTCCTACAGCTCCTCAGCTACTAAGCCATTTGTGACTAGAAGTATTTGAATACTATAACTGACCTCTCTTGACAGAGTGAGTTCTGACACAAAAACTCACCGTCATGCCAAAGAGCTGGTTGAATTCCAGGAGAGAAACATGCCTGTCCTCCATTTTTCGGCGACTATTGCGTATAGCATGGATAGAAACAAAGAGGAAGCGCTTCAGTGGCCTCAGCAGTGGCAGTTGCTTCTGCCATTCACAGCAGATGTCCCGGAGCTTATTAAAGAAATAACGTTGCAAGGAAACTCCATCCAGCACTGACAATACAAAGACAAAAATATAACTTGGTTGTACATTTGAGCATGAATGTATTCATTTTTCTTCTTTCTCTTATCTACCCCATCATTTGCCCCTTATTTTTTCCTGCAAGTTTCCTTCTATAGGATTATGTGTACAGTCTCAACATAAATCTATCCACGCAGGTCTCTGAACTAGATGCTGATCTCCATCCCTCCCCATAATCCACTGATTTTAGAAAGAGGAATGCTATGGTTATATAGTATGTTGCGTCCAAAAGTCATCAACTTGGGATAACATGGAAATCATTATTCCCAAGAGGTTATTTGACTCTTGCCAGGTATCTGAGCCCTATTTTTCTTAAACATGTGTCAATTTATCTATATGGATCAAATTTCTGGCAGGAGTTGAGTAAACTCTTGAAAATAATGGCAATAATGGGCAACAGTACAATATTACGAGAAACAAAAATCTTTCCTTCATCAGTTTACTAGCAGTTACTGCTAAAGTTCAGCAGGCTATCAAACAGCTAGTAGCTCTTAACAGATACAGACTAATGAACATCACTATAGGGACCTAAATCTGTTTGGAAAGTTAGACATGCAATGCCCATCATAGGGAATTACAAGTCCAGTATGCTATGCATATTGGTGGAAATTCCTTTATAAAAGAAAGTAACTGGGTGTGGGTAAGGATAGCCTTTAAAACTGTGAGGAGGGTTTATTTCTGTCCTGGACACAAATATTAACCTGGATTAAACCGGACTTTTGTCCAGCTGAACTATATTCACTGAAAACAATGGCCAATTTTGGGGTCAGCTGCGCAACAGCCCAACAGAGCCAGACTATAGTTGATCTTCATAGTTTAAGCTATTGTTCTCAATCATTTTCACAGAGGGTGGATTATAGTATGGTAAAACCAGAAGGGATAGAAGAACATCTCTGCCATGTTGCCCTTTTGCCATTACAGAGCAGAATTACACCACCATAGACTGTAAAATGAAAAGCACACCAGACACTCAAATCCTTTCCTGGACACATCTCAAATGTGATTAATCCAAGTTTACTGTTCACCAGACTGAATACTGTGGTATTTGTGATCACAACTAGCTTAGCAAGGCAGGGTCTCTCAGAGTATGTAGCAATTTAAAGTTTTGTTGTGAAAGCAAGAACTCAGTGATGAATCAACTGGTTTAAAGAGCTTAAGGGGAATATCTATACAGCTAAAGCATGTTGCTAACCATCCAAGTGCTTTCTATTTTAGTCAATAAAGAACTTCAGAGTTGTAAACTACCTTCTCTATTTCTATGCTATAGTGACTCTTGCTAACACTGCTAACATTAAGGCTGTCTCAGAATTCCCTTTTCAACTCCAGTTTCTCAAGCATTTTCATTTCATCCAGAACACTGGATGTCGAACTTCACATAATTCTTTGTTCCTGAAGAATGAAAAGAATTTTTATTTATTACATCATTGAATCACTTTTGATTTGCTTATATTCAAAACTTTAATAAGCACGGTATTCAAATTCTGCTAATGTAGTGAATGCACTTCTCAGCCATATTGACATATAACATGATCACTACAGAAGCTGGACTATATATACAGTTAAAGAGAGTTTAAAATGCAAAATTGTTACTCTCCAAGACTGAGGATACATTTCATTAACCAACATTCCTTATGCATTTAAATTCCGTAGGCATTTAAATAGCGTGAATGTAGGTTAATAAATTCAAGTTTTTTAAACATATTAAAATATATTTACTTGAAATACCAGTGGTATTTTCGTCTATCATAATACTTGTCTAATCCCCTGCCCAAATTCTTTTAAAAAGAGTTGTTAAAATAATAAATCAATACATGCTAGTTACATGTATTACATTAATACTTACGGGATGAGATGCTACTGTGCTACATACTGTATACAGTGAAAGATGCAATCAGAGCATCTTGCATGGAATAGTTAAAGAAGATTTTAGCCCAGCCTTGGAATTTCACTGTTTTTATTGAAGGGATTTATGTCTGTGCAACTCCTTGAAGCATTAATGATTACATGGTAGCTAGAATCCATCAGCAGGAGTGAACAAGGCAAACATGATCTTGCCTCGAAATCAGGTGAGATATTTCCAGTAGAAACAGAGAAGTATTACTGACATTGTGCAGGCACTTGGCAAATCATCACCTGAAATAAAGCGCAAAAAACCTGGTCGCTCATGTCCAAGAAAGACGCATTCAAACTGGAGGGTGCAGAGAAGATCTACTAGGAAGATCTGGAATACTATCTTATGAGAGGAGCCAAGAAGCTTGGCTTACCTAAACTGGCAAAAAAGGGGTCATAATTGTTCCCTATAAATATACCAGGTGAGTGAATACCAGTAAGAAGGGGAGGGGCAGAAGAGAAGTGTGTGCTGAAGAACAATATTAACACAAGAACAAGTATGCATTGGTGGGATCCGAATAAGTTTAAATGTCTATTAGAAGAAGGTACCCAACTATAAAAAGGAATGGGGTTCTGGAACAAGCGTTCATTAAGGAAGAGTGGGAGGCAAATAACCTAACTAATTTTAATGTGGTGCATGATCAGTTTATGAAAGCGATTATGATCATTTGGTTGCCTAAAGTGCTGGGTGCAGAATTCAGTGACCCAGTGTCCCTTTCAGTTCTATATTCCTTCTGCCATTTGCAGGAAAGCAGAAGAATAAACAATGGTAAAAATCTCACAAAGATAACATAGCTACATCAGGACACTGGATGAAAGCTACTTATTTGGCTTTTGGAAAAATGTCTGTCCTATGGACATTTTACTACTCGCAATTCCTAAACAGTGATAATCTCTTTTTGGGATATGTCAGATATAAGATCAAGAACAGGTTCACTGATCCAGGGTCCACACTCTCCAAAGTTACCTAGAGGCTGAGATGAAACAAAAAAGCAAACCCAGTAAGCACAAGAGAGCATGCAATCTTGCCATGTTGTCATGCTGCTGCATTTCACCTCATAGATGAGAGCACTAAAATTGCTGAGGAGAGCCATACAGACAGACTGCAGATCACTCTGTTGACAAGGTCTGTCAGGTACTTTGGGATCTTTCTAGATGAAGGGTGCTCTTGTAAATGCAAGGTCATCAAGATCATCATCACGCAGTTAAACAAAAGGACAGCAGTTAGGAAGACAGTTTACTGGAGCATGAAAATAGAATGCAGTAGGATTCTCTTCTTTATGGCTTCAGGGAATTTTTGCTTTAATCACTTTAGACAGTGCAAGTCTAATGAATTACTGTTTCTCTCATCAAGCCTTATTGTTCCACTAGTTGTTCCAGAACACCTCTGGTTGAAGATCCTTACTGTGTGAAAGATCAGCACCTGAAGTTCCTTCAATCTTCTTTCACGCCAGGAACACATTCGCTCATATACCTCATTTTCTGTTTGGCAGGCGAGGTCCTTTGGGTAGGTGTGATATCTTTTATTCGACCAACTAAATAGTTGGAAAAAAGTTCTTTGCAAACTTTCAAGCACAAACACCCTTCTTCAGGCAATCATTTTCTGTTTCACACCACCACCTCCCACAATTTTGCTCCCCTGCTTTTATTAGTTATGTAAGCTTTATACTGTTAATGGACTGAGTGCAGAGTACCAGTTATCCTGATTCAAGACCTTCAGCGCTTCTGTTTAAATTGATGGAATGTTTGCCCATCCTCTTGGATGGTCTGCTTTTCTGGCATCTCTTTCAGATTCATAAGAAAGCCCCATATTTAAACATACTCAAATTCTACATGGGAGCAATAACAGATCCACAATTTCTACTCAGTGATTTCCCAGCTTATCTGGCTACACAGTTCTAACTTCAATGACCTCTACCCCCAGAACACTCAATCTCTAAAATTAAAATCAACTGGATATGAATAAAGGCAAACCTGCATGTGTCATTGGCAGGCAAACTGTACCTCCGTGTCTTCGTGCAACAGTTTACTACAGGGAGTACTTGAGAGGCCCTAGGACAGGGGTCAGCAACACCTAGCACGCATGCTGAGCATGGCACACAAGGCCATTTTGCTCGGCACACCACCACGAGCCTGGGATCCAAGCAGCCGCTCCCAGCCACAGAGATGCTCCCAGCAGGAAGCTGGGAGGCTGCAAGCGCTGCTGCAAGCAGACTGGACTCCATGGGCCAGCTGCAGCCAGGAGGCTGCAAACAGCTGCTCCGGGCTCCAGCATGTTGCCACTCTGGCAACTTCCAAGGTAGACATTGTGGGGTTTTTGGCAGTCTGGCTAAAAAACGTTGCCTACCCCTGCCCTAGGGGGTATGCGTGGGCAGGCAGGGATGGAGTGCCACCACCAGAGCCATCAATCCCTAGGGGTGTGCGGGGCCTGGGGCACATCAGCCCAACTGGAGGATGCGAGGGGCAGGGGAAGCTCACACGTGGTGGCTGACACTGCTCCGCATTCAGCTGCGCACCACTCAGCATCCAGCCGCTGGGGGTACATTGATCCAAAAGGGTTGAAAATCCCTGGTTTACTAGAAAGAAGATTCAGCCTGGAGGACAGCAGTCAGCAGGACCAAGAAGGCTTTACTTTCCAGCCAGACTCTAAAAGACATCTGTTAGTAGGGGCTCCTTGGGAAAAAGTGTTTGTTATATCCCCTCCCAACCAGTTCTACCTACTTTGGAAAGTTGCAGCAATTGGCTCTGGATGATCCCGACGTCCTGTAAAAATGCCTCACAAAGCATGGGCAGCTCGCACCCTTATTCTCCTTTCTAGACAGGCTTTAGGTTGCAGCAGTTTGTAGAATATGAAGGCCAGATTTGCTCAAAAGGTCAGAAAATAGTTGCAATCTGTAAGAAGTGACTAAGAATACCACAGCTTTACACACCCTTACTACCTTGTTGCTACCCTTACTCATATGGGAGAGTTACTTTTAGTAGTACCTTTGCTTTTGATGAGACTGCTCATAATATAAGGTACAAATCAAGTAAGTACAGATAACAAAAGCTAGGTCAATGGGACAGAAGATGGTATTGTCACATATTGACAATATTCTCTGGCAGACTGGAAGGCAGAACCAATAGCTAGTTCTATAAAGAAGCACATGAAGCTCTTCATGAGAAATAGCAACACTAAACTAGGCCAGTAATGTTCCAAAATTACTTTAGGCCTTGAGACTTTCTAAAGAAAATGCCGGCTCTTAGCTTTTGACTGGAAAAATAACAAAGCAATTCTTCTGTTGCAAGGAACTCAGAAAAACCATAGCAAGTCAAAAATGTTTTGAACACTTTGAATTTCTATTTGAAATCTCTTGGTTTATCTTATGAATCATGTTTACAAACCTAACTATGCTGATATAGCACCCATAACACCCTTGAAGGGATCTCACAGCACTCTTGCTGAGAATCACTGTTCAGCCTTCTAAGTGGCCTGCAGTTTTCAAGTGCCACAGCAGATGGAGCCAACTTACAATATGAACTCAATTCTGAGACATGATGCATATAAAATGAATAGCTTCTAGTGTTTACAGTGGAATTAGAGAGCTGCCAATACCTCAAGAAAACTGTCTATTTAGAAACAATTGTGTTTATTTTTTTCCCTTCCCACATTCTCTGTTAAAGTCTACCACAACATCATTTTTATGTGCTCTGGAGGAGGAGAGCAGCACTTGCTATTTAGATCCCAGCCAAATAGATATGAAACCAGTTCTTTCCATATGAAGAGGGGGACGTGATACTACTTTGCAAGACACATGAAGGAGGGAGAGAATATATTTAGGGTACTGGAACAGGCATAAATCTAAGTAATGGTTTGACACTGAAAACCCGATGCAATGCATCAAGACTTGCGGATACTGTAACACATAGCCAGTGGAATAGTCTCACAATGAGAGAAGTGGAAGCTCCATTACGTGGGTCATTTAAAACAGAAGTGGAGATAGCTGTAGTAAAATGTGAAATAACAAACACTGTCTCTTCATCCAGGATGGACTAGGTTAAATACAAGACATTTTCTATGCTTAACTTCCAATTCCTGAAGCATCCAATCCCCAACTCAGTTTGCAAACATCAACAGGAAATTCGGTAAAATGCAATAGTCAATATTCTAGTGACTTAAGCATGACAGAAATGTCTCTTACATGGGGCTCAAATAATGCACAATTGTATGGTGTTATTTCTGCCCCAGTTTCAGCAGGCCGTTATGTGAATGAAGGCACTAAACAGAAAGTTTAGTGGTCAAGACAAGTTCACACACATTATCACCTAGTCCTTTCTCTGGAGACTGACACAACAAACATTGTTGAAAAGCTTGTTTTCTCAGACTTAATGCTAGAGTTTCAATATAATTTGGACTACAGGTGCTACTATCATGACCCTAAGTGTGGGCAAAAGGATTTAAATAGATTGAATTCAAGATGCTTAACAGATGTGGAGTATACACCTCATTGATTCCACTGCAGTCTGAAAGGCACATTAATAAACTGCCCCAGTTCAACATTTTGAAGTGAACAATTTATTTTTTTTTAAGAAACAACTTTTTATAATTTTTCAGAACGTTTAACATCTCTTAACTGAAAACTCATTTAGCAAGAGAAGAGCTTTCTTAAACCAGCTACGTGTACTTGGATTCAACTCTGATTTTCAGGTAATGGGGGGCTTTAGCACTTTATGGAATCAGATCCAGTTAAGGAATATATTTGGACATCTCAAATCACTAGCTACTTTGAGAAACCTTGGCCCTAGCCTCCAGATTCTTTTTGAATCTTAAGTGCAAAACCATCCTTAATGACATGCATAACAAAAGAGCAATAAAAGCTCTTCTCCTCAGCTGCTTGCTGAAACACCCTAACCTGGTACTCTGGGAAGCATCTCAATCAAGTGTTCCAAGAGTCAGCTTGTGGAAAGCCACAAAGAAATCTACTTACAGGTCAACCTCTGCTGGTCTCCCTGTTCTTCGTCCACACCTGACTTCTCAAAAGTAGACAGATCAGTTTGTAGCACTTCATCAGTTGCTGCATGGATCAGTGCTGCTGTAAGAAGAGGGGGTGCATTCCTGCTGGCAAAAGAAAGGAAGAAAGAGCAAAATATATGGTATTAGTTTAAACTGAGTTGTTGCCTTCATTTGATGTCAGCAACATTGCAGCTCCCGAAGCTGGGAAGCTCTAGGAGGCACCAAGAATTCTGACTCTTAAGTCAGGAACCTAACTCAAAACCAGCCTCTGAGTATTTGTGATATGTAGAGGCTTTTACAAAGTTCTCAAATCTAACACCTGCTTTCTTGAAAATGCAAGGTTAGGAGGGGCACGAAGTACAATTTGAACTGTTCCCTCATTCTTACTCTTTCAGTCCCCAGATATCACCTCATGCTCTTACATTCTGTGATGAGACTGTTACCTGTTAATATTAACAAGGCTCTGAACTCAAGCACTCAGCTCTACTTGCAAGTGTCCATTTAATTTTTCAGCTGCTCTAAAGGTAAATCAATTTACATTAGGATAGAACTATTCACAACCTCCTCCCCCTGCTCTCCACAACATATCTGCAATACAGTATAATCTCATAAATCTGGCATACTTGGGACCGAGCAGCTGCTGTATATTTGAAAATGCTGGATTTTTGAAACCCTAGTGGTGACTGGACCCAGAGCAGTGGCCACATGTGGAACAACAACGTGGGGTGGTGGATGGTGGCAGGAGCCACCACATACAAGCTTCCCCCTCTATGTACGGGGTTGGGGAGAGTGGCAGACAATTCCGGAGCAGCGCTGGATTTTTGAGAATTCCGGATTTTTGAGATTATACTGTATTTTGTTGGCGTCTTTCTCTCTCCTGAGCTCTTGCTTATAAGTAATCAAGATTTTCCTGTTAGAATCTTTATGTCTCCATTCCCTTTCCCCTCTACCGCTCCAAAGAAAAACTGAACTGCAGTGCAAAAAACATTTGCTACACAATTACTACCAACTTGAGCATGATATAAGTCAGTCAGTGGCAGATCATGCCTCACACATTCACCTCTACCATTTTAGCTCCTAGTTTCTCCTGACCTCAGGCATCACAAAGCCAGTGCAAAATAGACATACACAGAGCACCCACTGGGAACCTGGCTTTGAAGACTCAAGCCACATCCAGACAAGAGCAGCTGTGTGGTATGTGGTGCTGCAGACACGTCTACAGTGCCACATACCACACACCCAGCTGTCCTCTGCGCTGCAAGGGACCAGCACAAGGTTGACCCCTGTATATTCTGGGGTTAAAAAAATCTGCACAAAAAAAAGCAGAGTGGTGCACACAGGGACAGCGTGCATTGCTCAAAACTAGAGCCTGGCCAACTGAAGCCACACTCCACTTGCCAGTCAGGCTCTGAGCGGCAGGATCACTGCTGCTGTAGCCCCAGAAGGCCCCCAGGACTCCAGGTAAGGCTGCTAGGGCCAGCCCAGTGCTGGCCCCAGACTCTCCTACCCCACCCAGGATAACCTGCCTCACCTAAGAGAGCACCTACCTGGTACAGGCATTCCCCAGGGAAAACTAGCAACAGCACAAGGTGTCCTGCTGCTGCTTGTCCCTGGGGAAACAAACATCCATGCTCGTGTGGACACAGCCTCAGTGTCTTGCACTTAAACCAAGACTTTTGATTAGAATTCCAAAAGTTCATGACCTAAAAATCATCCCACCTCAAGAATCAGCAGCATATGCATACTGCAAACTGTATAGGATGCATGTGCAAGACTTGCAATAAGGTTTAGAAGAATGTTTTCAGACTCAAGACAAGTTACTTCCAACCTGTAATCCAAATTATATTCATGACTTGGAGTCGGTGCCAATAGGATCTTACTATGCACTTAATGAAAAAGGCCGATCCTATCAAATCATATCATTCAGATGAGTGCCTTCTGCCACAACAGAAACTTCTGTGTTCATTGGTAGACTACAGTACAGAAGCTCATTTAACCCACACATTCATAGCAACTGTGGCTTGCTTTATTTTGTGAGCAATTTCAGTACTTCAAACAGCTGGAAATGCGTTTGCAGTCCTTTCAATGACAGCAGCAGCAGCTTTAAAGCACTGGAAGAATCAGAAGCTACTTTGCTAGTTCTTGTACTGTATGGGTAAGTTTAAAAGAAGCTTTTCATTTTCCTACCCAATCCAAGAAAAATCACATCTGCTTACTAAGAACATGCTGGTATTACTGCTGACAAAATGAACAACTAAATTTTATTAGTCTTTCAGACAAGAAAATACAACCTATATGGAAATGTAACAGCATCAGGTATGCATTAAGCTGAAAATTGTCTACTTCCCTCATTCTAAAGCTGCTGCAGAAAAGCAGGAGAAAAGTCAAGTGTTAAGGCCGTGGTCTAAACAAGTTCAGAAAAAGTCTACTGAAAATGAGAGAATGCACGTAAACACTCACCCCCACGCTTAAACTTTGCCCGCTTAATTTATATTAAAGACAACATGCCTCAGCTACAGTGGCTTTTAAATAGTTTAATAGGGCATGTTAGCTAAAATTTCCTATTTTTTTTTATTAGCCTAGATATGGTGCAACAGTAAGAAAAACAGCAAGAAAAGGAGCTGAGAAACAGACCGAATTAATAAAAAACCCAGCAGATTTAAAAGGACTATGAAAAAATAGATTTAGGATCACTATGGTATGCTGAAATGGAATTTCAGATGTAACTCAGGTTTTTAGCTGATATTATAGCAGCATTCAACAATTAAAATTGACATTTATTGCAGTTCTACCTTAAAGAGCTCTGGCTCAGTGTGAAATAGGTTCCTACATAAACCTTAACACAAAGGAAATGCTGTCATTTACAAATCTGAGACATTTAGTCACAGGAAACCTGTAAAATTCCAGGCTGATTCTGCTACAGAGCTGACCCCTTCAAGCAACGGAAGCAAATTACAAATTAAAATGTCACATCCTTTTGATAACCACTTTTTCTCCAAAAAGGAAATGTACTGAAGATCCCTTAATATTGGCTCTTCTTCCTACCCTTTTTCCAATATGGCTCAACAAAAGCCCCAATAAGCAACAGTATTTTTTGCTGTTTTGCAGCCAGCAAAAACAATTGTACAGCTGCTACTGACAGGCTGCTATTTTACTGGCAAAACTAATAAAAGTACCAGATAGGCAAACAATAAAACCCCCCAAAATATGGGTTATCAGATACAGTTATGTCAGCTTCACTTTCAAGGAGCATACTGGTAAATTATTATCTATCCCCATCTAATATTCCTGTTCTTTATTCTCTTATATTAATTAGCCTCCATGGCAACAATATTTGCTGATCAATTTGAGTGTTTACAGGCACCAGCCCTATCTTTAAAACAGAGAGAGTTATGTACTATAGAAGGGAGAGAGAAAGTCTTTTCTGGAAGCGGGGGGGGGGGGGAAGCGAGACTGCATATATGTTAGCAGGTTTCAGAGGAGGAGTTGGAGGCAGACATAGTACTCAGGATGACCTGACAAAAGGTATTGGTGTCCTGCTGCAATTACACACGCAGCCTCTTTAAAACTGAGACATTCTTTTCTCTAAGCATACACAAACAAACAACCCACTCCCTGGATGTGAAATTTCTGCCTTTTAGTACAGACTTTTCCTAGAAATGAAGGCTATCCTGCTGACAGGCTGTAGGAAGTGTAAATTAGCCTTCACTGCAGTGGAGAAAACAAAAGTAGACATATTCCATGTGGGAAACCAATAGGGAAAAAGACAAAAAAAAGACTACCTTCTAGCACAGAAATCTTGAAAACAACATTTGTCAGCCTCTTTTTCACGAGGCATGAAAGACTGCAATTGCCTAAGCTCGGCCCACACAGACTACGAGTAAACAGTCCTGGAATTTCTTTGCTATAGGCTACGTCTTCACAGACAAAAAAGGGTGCGTTTAGTCAAGGCATAACATGCATTAACTATTCCACTATGTTTTTTCCAGTGAAAATGAGGCAATGCAGTTTATTAAGAAGCCAAGTCAACCACAGGTGGGTGGGCTGTAATGCTGGCCTCACCCCATTAATCGCTGGTAAACAAAACAAACACTCCCCCACCAAAAAACCTGTCTGAGATTTCATAGACATTAGGGCTGGAAGGGACCTCAGAAGATCATCGAGTCCAGCACCCCTGCCCAAAGGGCAGGAAGTCAGCTGGGGTCATTGGATCCCAGCAAGATAAAGCATCCAACTTGCTCTTGAAGGCGTTCAATGTAGGTGCTTGAACCACCTCCGACGGCAGGCTGTTCCAGACCTTGGATGGCTTTGACAGTAAAGAAATTCTTCCTTATGTCCAGCCTGAAACGGTCTTGTAGTAGTTTATGACCGTTCGACCTCATCATCCCTTGGGGTGCTCTGGTGAA